AAAAAGTAAAACAAAACAGAGATGCGATTTCAAGGTTTAGACATTAAAACAAATGTGGCTGGAGCCACAGTAAAGTGGCTGCAGTTCCGTCACAGTGCCTGCTGCTGTCTCCCATCCCCTGCAGGACTCAAAGTCAAGTCAGGTTGGGTAGGGGGCTCTGGGAAGGTGGGAAATAAAATCTATTCACCGTCTGCAGACACAGGGGGCTTCTAGAGATGAGTTCACTTGCCAGGAGGGTCAAGCACAGCCCAGTCCCCTGAGTCCAGCTGGCCAGTGGGCCTCCAGATTGCTCTCCTCAGCCTCAGGCCATGCTTGGTGCTGGGCTGGCCCCTCTGCAGTTGGTTTTTCTGTGTGTTTTGTTTTCAGGTTTTGGAGACACAGTCTCTCTGTGGCCCAGGCTGGCCTCAAACTTGCAATGATCCTTGTTGTTAAGAGTGCTGGGATAGCAGGCCATCGCACCTGGTGGCAATGTCTTTTCATAAAAGTAGATGGACATGTGCCCTGAGTGCTACATTCCTGATCCAGCAGCAAGTCAGATGACAACAGGAGGGCCAGCTTGTAAGCTGGAGGAACATGCCCTTTGAGTCTGCCACTGCTAGGGTGCTTCTAAGACCAGACAACACTTCACCCCGAATGCTGCCTGGGCATCGGGAAAACTCATTTTTTATAGTTTTTTAAATTTTTTAAAAAATATTTTATTATTTTTATGTGTATGGTATGAGTGTATTGCCCATGTATGTGAGTGCACCCATGTCATGCAATGCTCCGGAGGTCAGAAGAGGGCCTCAGATTCCCCTGCAACTTGAGTTAAGGACGGTTAGTAGCCACCATGTGGGTGCTGGGAAAGTTGCTTTTATATATGATAGTAGTCTATTTTTAATATTTTATTTATTGTTTTTATTTTTTATGTGTGTGCGTGTATTGCCTGCATGTAGGTAAGTGCACCCGTGTTGTACAATGCCCACAGAGGTCAGAAGAGGCCATCGGATTCCCTGGAACTGGAGTTACGGACAGTTGGTAGCTGCCATGTGGGTGCTGGGTTTCGAACCCAGGTCTTCTGCAAGAACAACCAGTGTTGAGCCATCTCTCCAGTCCCCTAGGAAAACTCATTTTTAAAAAACTATTTTTATGTGTGTGAGTACTATGCCTGCATGTATGAAGTGCACTCATGTCATGCAGTGCCTGAGGAGGACAGAAGAGGGCATCAGATCACCTGGAACTGGAGTTACCAATGGTTGTTAGCCTCCATGTGGGTACTGGGATATGAAACTGGGTCCTCTGCAAGAGCGCTCTTAACTACTGAGTCATCTCTCCAGCCCAGGAAAACTCATTTAAAATTGTTTATCACACTTATTTAATTGCGCATGTGTGTTCATGTGTGCCATGGCACGCATATGGAGTCAAAGGATAATTTGTGTTACTGGTTCTCGCCTTCCATTTTGTGGGTTTTGGAATTGAACTCAAGTTGTCAGGTTTGGTGGGAGGCACCTTCATCTGCTGAGCCCTCTCACTGGCCCCAAGCTGATTTTAAACCACTCAGGAGATGGAAAGGATTGGTCTGCACTGTGACTCAACAAGCTCACCTCTGAATGTCTGGCTGGGGTCACATTAGGGAATCACGATAGAGCCACACAAAACACTGGGACCCCAATTTCCCCAGCTGGAGGGGCGGTACCATCAGCCATATCAGAGGCTGCTGCAGCACTCTGGCCTCTTAGACTAGCTCCCTCTGCTAGACTAGGAGTCAGAAGTTGGGGACCCCCAGAGCAGAGTGCCCACACATCTTCGCAACTGAGCTTACATTCACCACATCAAATTTGAGATGGCATACGGCCAGACTGGGGCCCCACAGGTCCCAGGAGCTACCTCCTGGGCCCAGCGCGGGGCAGCAGGACAGGGGCACAGGCAATGCCCGCGAAGGACTCTGGGAAGTGCAAGTCCCTCTCCCACTCGTCAGTCTCGGTGTTGTAAACTTGCACGATGCCAGTGACGTTGTTCAGGCGCCAGTTGTAGCCACCCACAATGTAGATCTTCCTCTCCAGCAGGCAGCAGCCAGCTTCTGATTGGCCGGCACGCATCGGGGACACGCTGGTCCACTGGTCCGTGTCAGGCACATAGTACTCCACAGCCAGCACATCGAAGCAGCGGTCCACATGGTCCATGCGGCCTCCCAGGACATAGATGCGGCCTCCAGCGCCCACCATGGCATGCAGTACCCGCGGTTCGCTCATGGGAGCCCTCACCTCCCACTGGTCAGCTGCGGGGTCGTAGCAGTGCAGGGCCTTCTTGTCCTCCACAGAGATGCCATAGCCCCCGGAGATGTAGAGGCGGCCCCCAGCCGAGGCCCCAGCATGGCCCCAGGTGCGTCGCTTCAGTGAGCAAGCGTAGTCCCAGCTGTCCCGCTGTGGACAGTAGCGCTCCACTGAGGCCAGGCTGCCCGCACGGTTGCGGCCACCGGTGGCATACACCAGACCACCCAGTGCGGTCAGCTGGAACTGAATGCGGCTCTCCTGCATGGCCTGCAGCCGCAGCCAGCAGTTGCGGTGCGGGTCATAGCGGTAGCAGGCATCCACTGCACCCTCGCCACTGCGGTACTGCAGGTGCTGGCCGCCGGCCACATACACGAAGTTGTCCAGCACGGCCACGCCCGTGTGGCTGCAGCCCACCTCCATCTCCGTGAGCTCACGGAAGTGTCGGGCACCAGGCTCCGGCAGCTGGTACACCTTGCTGCTGACCGAGCGGTCGCTGTCAGTGTAGGGTGTGCCACCGAAGGTAACCAAGGAGGGCACGTCGGAGCGCACAGCCGTGCGGGGCGACTGCATGTCATGCTGGCGACAGGGCAGCACATGGTAGCTGAAGGCCTCCAGCAGGAACTGGCGGCACAGGGCGTCGTCCACCATCACGTCCAGCGTCTGCACGCTATCCACCAGCTCCGCCGGCTGCATGAGCGGGAAGCGGATGTGGCAGAGCACATGGCTGGCGCGCGGCCGCCTGGCCGGGTCATGCTGCAGCCAGCGCACCGCCGCCCTGAACAGGTCGATCTCAGCGCAGCTCTGCAGCCGGTTGCTCTGCAGGAAGAAGACCAGGCGCTCCAAGGGCAGGCGCAGGAAGTCTTCCTCCTCTGCAATCTGCAGAAAGTGGCGGAACGTGAAGGCATCCACAGAGTCCCGCAGTGAGGCCAGGCTGAAGGTGGTAGCCATCTGGCCGATGTGCAGGCAGGTCTCCACGCTCATGGCCGCCTTTAAGAAGTCCTCACACAGCTCCACCACAGGCAGCATCTGCAGGAACACAGCGGCGCCCAGCACGTCCTGCACACAGTCAAGGTCCAGCGTCACCTCAGCGCTGTAGGCAAAGTCGATGATGTGGCGCAGGCCACGTGCAGACACACCCTGCAACTCGATGACTGCCTGGCTGGCCTCCCTCATGCCGCCTGTGAACATGGCCCTGAGAATGGGAAGGCCAGAGCCTATGAGACACACACAGGCAGGAAAGCCAGGCTGTTTTCCTTTTGAGACAGGGTCTCCTTGTAGCCCCAGTTGGCCTGGAACTCATTATGTAGACCAGGTTGACCTCATTTGCATAGAAATCTGCCTGTCTCTGCCTCTGCTGGGGTTAAAAGGTATATGCGCCCACACCCGGGCCCCAAGCTGTGTTTTGTCCATTAATTAAGCCCTGCATTTCTACTCTCCCTCCTGCATCCACTCCTGAGGCCAGTCAGGCTGAGAGGTACCAAGGGTGGTCATGTAGGGACCTGCCTCCTTGAGCTCAGGGAAGAGGCCAAGCTTCCATCCATCACCAGAGTCTAAAGCCTCGCCACTCACTCCTTGCACACAGGAGACCTGAGACCTTCTAAGTAAGAGCCAACGGGCCAGCTGTGTTCCCTGTTATTAGGGTCCCAAGGAATTGCCAGCTATTGGGGGCTATGCCCATCCCTGCTGTCTCCAGGGAGAGACTGGGGAGGACAGGGACAGGACCCCTCCCATGCATAGCCCAGAGGAGCTGTCTGCTGAGTCCTCAGCCCACTTGAGAACTCAGCTAGAGACCTGGCCCTGCCTGTCACACTCCACCTTGCCAGGTAACAGCTGGTAAGGGGACCCAGGCCCACATAGGAGGGCTTGAGGGAGGCTTGAGGTCAGAGCCCTGTCTCTAGCAGGAAGAGGGAAAGTCCTGCTTGGTGCTCACAGGAACCATGACAGTTTTTCCCACAGGTCACATTTGGTAACATTTCACACTGGTACTCACTACTGTGGGCAGGGCCTTCCCTGAAGGCTGCCTAAGGTGCAGGGATGCCCTCCTCAGCATCCCAGTTGATACCTACACCATAGTGTAGAGCCTCCTGTAATCCAGCCTTGGGCCATGGTAGGAAGAGAACCATGGGGTGCTGTGTAAGGGCTGCCAGCTAACAGCTGCCATCAGGCCATGGGTCAGCATTTCAGGGCCTCCATAGAGGCCAGCTTCCAAACCTGGTCCCCTACCAGCCCTCATACACTGTGATGAGAAGAGAGAACAGAGCAGGCAATGGGAAAGAGTTTTGCCTTTTAAGGCCTTGCCAGCTATAGCGCCAGCGTGCGGGTGCCTTTAAAGGCATTGCTGGCTGGCCAGCCCATCCATCCCCAAATCCAGAGTAAAAATAGCACCTATGCCCCTGTTGGCTCAGCTGTAGAAGCTCCCCATCGAGGGATGTGAAGCCCTGGGTAGGGCTGGACTTAAGGATGTCTCCAGGGATGCCTGGACCTAGGCCTCTGGGGTAGAGGTGTCACAGACTGGCAGGAGGTGACTCAACAGTAATTGAGAGCAACTGACTGCCCGTGCTGGTGGAGACATTGCCTACCACCCAGCTCCATGGGCCCACAGTTCCAGCCCAGCCCTGGAAAGGTGGGCAGCCCCATGTGTAGGCCAGAAGTGTGACATAGCGGGAAGTGTGGAAAGAACCGGTGGAGCATTACCCGGGCTCAGAGAACCACACACACAGGTAAGAGCAGGACCTGGGGGTGGGCTGTGAATCCACTGTCCCTCTGGTCCCTCAGCCATTCACTTTAACATTCTGGAGGGAGCAAGTCAGTGCCAGGGACACAGGACCACTATGTCCTTGCTGGGCACACATGACTTACACAAGCACCTGGCATAAATGAGGAATGAAGACTTAGGAGAAGGGGAGACAGGCTGAAGCTCAGCAGGTAGAGTTTACCCAACCTGCATGAAGCCCTGGGTTCCATCCCAGAAATCAGGTGGGGTGACATATGCCTACCATTCCAACTCTTGGGAGGAGGAAGCAGGAGGATCAGGAGTTCAAGGTCATCCTAGGGTACACTAGTGAGTGTGAGGCCAGCCTGGGCTACATGAGACCCCATCTTGAAAAAAATGAAAGAGCCAAAGAAAGGAAGGGAAGAAGAGAGGAAAGGAGGATGGGACCTGGGGGTTTAACTCAGCAGTTTAGCTGAGTGGTAGAGTGCCTATATCCACCAGCACTTAAAAAAAAGAGGCTGGGGAGAGTTTCTAGAGAGATGGCTCAGTGGTTAAGAGCACTGGCTGCTCTTGCAGAAGATCCAAGTTCAAATCCCAGCATCCACATGGCAGCTAACAACTGTCCATAACTCCAGTTCTAGGTCCTCTACTGGCCTCCAAGGAAATAGCATGACACATGTGCACTAAACATGCAGGCAAAATACTCATACACATAAAATAAAAATAAATAACGTTAAAAAAGAGAGAGAGAAAAAAAATCATAGGCCAGGTGCGGTGACAGCACTGGCTGTGCAAAGCAGGAACATTGCTTCAAGTTTGAGGCCAATCCAGGCTACAAAGCAAAACACTGTCTAAAATAAATGGAAGAGGTGGCTATCATGTAGGTCCCCACTGAGGGTGGCAGAGGTGTAGATCTGAGCCCCAGGGCCAGCTCACCTGAAGTAATCACTGCAGGCCGCCAGGACCACCTTGTGTGCATGGAAGGCTTCACCATTGACTGTGAGGATCACATCCAGCAGCTGGCCCTGTGCACGCAGCGCAGCCAGACCCTGCAAGAGGCCTGTGCTGTGACCGGCTGCAGAGAAGGTGCACTTGAGGGTCCCATTCCTGTCGGCCAGGCTGCAGGCAGAGCAGAGGAGGTACATGGTTCAGAGGCCTCCAGGTGGGAGAACACATATACATACAGTGACATGGGAGATGCTTGAAACTGTGAAACTGAGTGGCGGAAGCAGCCAGGACAGACAGACCCATAGTGGAGGATGCATAGTAGCAGGGGCTGAGGGGTGGGATGAGAAGAAACTGCTAAACACACAGCAGTCTCTTCATGGGGGCATGGAAGAGTTACAGAAACAAATAGACAATTTCTGTGGCACATTGAGTAAATACTGCCAGATCTACCACCTGAAACCAGGCATGGTCTGGCAGTGTGGCTCAGCAGTAGAACCCTTGCTTAGAATCCCCCAGTGTTGGACTCGGGGCATGGCTCAGGAATCCCCCAGTGAGGAGCTGCACACCTCTCATCCCAGCATGCAGGATATGGAGCTCGAGGTTATCTTCAGCTACATAGTGAATTCAATGCCAGACTGGGCTACGTGAGACCAGGTCTCAAAAAAACACAAAGCAAGGCCAGGCGTGGTGGTGCACACCTTTAATCCCAGCACTTGGGAGGCAGAGGCAGGCAGATTTCTGTGAGTTCAAGGCCAGCCTGGTCTACATAGTGGGTTCCAGGCCAGCTTGGGCTACAGGGAGACCCTGTCTCAAAAAG